AGCTCTCCTGGGCTTGTCAGTGTTGGGTACTGGAGATTAAACAGATGGGACTTAGACCACGACCATGGGAACAACCCAAGAGCTTCGAAAGTCCAGAATCAGGATTTTGTGGGGTAGAATGTGGACTGGAGAGGGGACCCTGTGGAGGCTTGAGGAACAGAGGAACAGAGCTGAGGGCTGGCCCATGAGTGAGGAGTTCCCCAGAATGGTCCCAGTGTGGGGGCAGAGCAGCTCTTTCCAAGGCCTCAGAGAACATCCTTGAATGAGAGGTAGAGTCTGGAGAGAGGAGACTTGAAAAGAGAAAAAATCCAACAGCCTCTTCATTTGCTCTGCATTCCACCTACGATCTTCTATGGGGAGTTGAGAGCTGTCACAGACAGACATGGGCCCTTGGGATGACAATATAAGGTGACTGAGGTGGGTTTAGTGCACGTGGGGCTCGGCAGCAACTGTTCCATGAAGCCTTCATGTCGCTGGGTTGAACTGAAGACACTGAGGGGATTCTTGGTTGGGCTCTAGGGAGCCCCTGTTCTGGAAACAGCTACACTGGGACTCAGGGACTCGCAGGCCAGAGTGACCAGAGAGCTATGACTGATTTCTGGAGAAGCCCAAAGGCTAGTGAGTGGAGACACTGCCTGTTGGTTATCTCCATCAAGTGGAGCATGATACATGCCTGTTACCCTCAGAGCTCAGGCGGAGAAGGCAGGACAACCAGGAGTTCAAGACCATCCTCAACTACTCAGCAAATTTGAGGCCAGGATGGTCTCCTTGAAACCCTGTGTCAAAAAGAACAATGACGCCAGGCGGTGGTGGCACACACCTTTAATCCCAGCACTCGGGAGGCAGAGGCAGGGGGAGATCTCTGTGAGTTCGAGGCCAGCTTGTTCTATAGAGTGAGTTCCAGGACAGCCTCCAAAACAATACAGAGAAATCCTGTCTCAAAAAAACCAAAACAAACAAAACAAAACAAAAACCCACCAAAAGAACAATGACAGTAAAACCCAGCACATCACCTAGTGAAGTTTGAGTCGTGAAACACAACATTCAGAAAAGTACTTATGACGCCACATAGTAATTAATGTAAGTCTTGTAACCCCGAGTCCCCAGTCAAAAAAAAATATTCCCTGAGGTTCTTTCATTTGTGTTTCTCTGAAATTGATGGGTTTCGATTGCTGTTCGGTAGTCCTCAGCATGGCTACGGTACTGGCTCACGGGATGGATGGATATTTCGAGTGGTTCCCATTTGAAGCCACTGTGAACACTCTTGCGTTTGTTTTGTTTGTGTGAACAAATCCTTCTTTCCACTGGGATCTCCCTTGAGGTAGAATTGCTGGCGGTGGGTATGAATAGGCTCTGGC